TCGCAACGTGCACTTTTTCGAGAATTACGCGGCTCCCACGTGGCTTTTTCTTTCCTACTATACTAATAACGGACGGAATGTAAAAATGAATGAATAAAATATCAAATTACCATTTAATTGTAGCTCTTTTTTTTTTTTAAGTTTAATTATAGCTTTTCGGCGTGTAAATAACAACGTAGGGCCAAATGTTGACAAACATAAAATAAAAAATAACAACGTACGTAAGGCCAAAAAGAAAAGCTAAAAAGCAATACGTCTCCATTCATTACCTATATAAAGCCTACTCGGTCCGATTGTTTTCAAATCTTCACACCACATTCGATCTTTAATTTGCATGCTCTTCACTATCATTCTATCAATAGTGAATTACTAAATAGTAGTATCAGTTTTGAGTTTTGATCCCAACGAAAATGGAAAATGTTCCCTCTAATGGTCAAAACGAAACTCCCATTCCCAGTCCCAACCAAGTTTCACCACCACCACCATCTTCATCTTTGCACTTGACAAGAGATCAAGAACATGAAATCATGGTCTCTACTTTACGACAAGTGATATCCAACTCCGGAGGTGACACGTCATCATCAAACTTGATCTCCGCCGAAGCTCTTCCGGCTCCGGACGCTGGCCCTTGTCCTCTCTGCAGCGTCACCGGTTGCTACGGCTGCGCATTCTCACGGCCACACGAAGAGGTGATAAAGAAGGAGAAGAAATACAAAGGAGTGAGGAAGAAACCATCGGGTAAATGGGCGGCGGAGATATGGGATCCGAGTTTGAGAGGAAGGAGGTGGCTTGGAACATTTCCGACGGCGGAGATGGCGGCGCGTTCTTACGACGATGCGGCGGCTGAGATTGTCGGGAAAATGGCAGCGAGACGTGGCACAGAGAACGGAGAAGGAATTAAGCGGCGACGGAGATGATCGAGAAGGAAAGTTTTGGTCCGCGAGGTGAAAATACTATTGATTTCATATTTACAGCTAAATTAAGAGATGTTTTGGGAGAAAAAATAATAAAATTTTATTTTAAAGATAAGTTGTAATAGTATTTTTCTGAGAATTTTTGAAAAATACTATTTTTGAAATACCATTTTTTTAAATTATTTAGTCATTATATCATTTATTTTTGGGTTAACTATGTTGTATTAGAGTTTTGAGAGTTTAGGATTAAAATATTTTTTAGAGTTTATAATTTTAATATATAGATTTTAAAAATCTATAATTAATGATATTTTTACAAATAGACAATCAATAGTAATATTTTTGAAAATAAACACACTAAAAATAATATTTTTATAATTATCTCTGTTTTTATTGTTGTGTATGAAGATTAAGTTTTTAAAAGCTTTTTCCATGTGCAGCAGTATCCATTGTGAACTATCCATTGTGAACTTAAAAAAAATATGAATTGGAAAATATTTGAATAAACTGAGAATCAATATTGGTTAATAATTATTCTTGTTTATTTTCTGTAAACTGATGATGGGAAATGTCTTAACTTAGAAAGGGTGTATGCATAATTCATAATTGTCGGGGAAATAAAAACGATTAGAAAAAATACAAAATTTAAATGTTCTTTGAAATACGTGAAAATTATAAGAAAAATAGTACTCCTCCGTTATATGAAGATTAATGTTTTGGTATCTTCACATAAATTAAGAAACA